TTCAATGAATATTTATTCCAGAAGTTTAAATCTTTACATTTGTCAAACACAATATTGAATAATCATATGCTACTAGTTCTAGTTCTACTCACTTTATTTTGCATCAGAGGAACCTAGTGTTTTGGTAGTTCCATTTTTTAGCGCATGATGATGTTGAGTCATTTCAGTTGTATCCCGACTCTCCATGACCCTATTTGGGATTTTCTTGGCAAGGATCCTGGAGTGGTTTGCCATTTTTTTCTCCAGCTCATTTTACAGATGAGAAACTGAGGCAAATGGTCACACAACTAAGTGTCTTAGGCTGGATTTGAATTCAGGTCTTCCTGACTCCAGGCCCACTTCTCCACCTAGCTGTGCCCTATGGCATGATGATATTACATTATAGTTAAACTATAATTTGCTTAGCAATTCCCTGTTCAAAGGACCCCCATCCCTCCACCCCTTTAGTTTCTGATTTTTTGCTCCTATGAAGAGTTGCTCTAAATGAGTTTTACACATATAGATAGATCCTTTTTGTCTTTCTTTGATTTCTTGGGGGTATTCACCTATTAATAGTGTGACTGGGTCAAAGGGTATGTATGGTTTGGTAATTTGGGGGGCTTCTACGGATTGGTAATTTTGGGGCCTTCGTTCAGATTGCTTTCCGGAATAGCTGGAGTAATTCACAGTTCCACCGGTAGTGTACTGGAGTTCTTGTTTTCTCACAGTGTCTCTAATATTTGTTATTTTCTCCTTTTGTCATGTTTGCTAGTCTGATAAATGTGAGGTAGGATGTTGCTTTAATTTGCATTTCTCTAATTATTAGTCATTTAGAGCATTTTTCAAATAATTGTTGATAACTTGGATTTCTGACTTCGAAAACTGCCTTTTGACAATGAGTTTTCAGTGAGCATTTAAGTACCTGCTGTGTTCTAGGCATTGTGCTAAGGGCTGGAATAGTAGTTCTGTAAATTGTTCTGGTTCTACTCCATTTTATATTATAGGAACCCATAGTTTTTGCTAGCTATTCCATTAGTCTTCCCAAGACACAGGCATAGGAATCTGGAGGGTTTTTCAGACATTTCTTTAGAAACATCTGGCAGATCTGAAGTGTGTCACTGGCCTCTCTAAGGCTGCCTTGAGAATAAGAGAGCTCCAGCCAATGAGGGCTAGGCAGCAATCAGCCATCAGCATCACTTATGTGTTCCTTGTGGGTAGAGCTCCATACTGTAATAGGCAATGTGGAGGATATCACAGAAAAGAGGTGTTGGGGAGACAACATTTACCTGTGAAAAAGACAACACATAACCTGGAGTAGTCTCCAACTCATCAGACTCTCTTATGTCCTATGTAGTTAAGATCCAAGATGTTCTTTCTTTTTGGCACCCAGGACAAGAAAAAGAGCCTTTGACATCCCAGTGGATAGTCCATCATAGACTTGATTAAAAATACTTCCTTGTTCTTCTCTTTTGTTTTCCCTGAAGACAGCCCTATTTCAGCCTCATTAATGTTATTTTTGAAGTAGTGGTGGGTCTTTTGGGTCCATATAGCTGTTCTAAAACTCAGAAGAATAATCTACACACTTGAGGCCCCATATGACTCTGTCTTAACAATTGAGCACCTCCTATGTGCCAAACACTATGCTAAGAGCTAGGGTTACAAAGAATAAGACAGTCCCTGCCCTTGAGAAGCTACAGTCTAATGGGGGAGACAACAAGCAAACAACTATGTACAAACAAGTTATATACTGGGTAAATTGGAAATAATCAGCAGAGGGAAGGCACTGGAATTAAGGGGGATTGGGAAAAGCTTTCTGCAGAAGGTGGGATTTTAGCTGGGACTTGAAGGAAGCCAGGGAGTCCAGGAGGTAGAGATGAAGAGAGAGAGCACTGTAGGCATGTGAGACAGCCAGAGAAAATGCCTGGAGCCAAGAAGTTAAATGTCTTGTTTGAGGAATGCCAGGAAGGGTCGAGATATGTGCTAGATTTTTTGAATGCCAAGTAAAAGATTTCATATTTGATCTTGGAGAAGATAGAGAGCCATTGGAGTTTATTGAATAGAGAAATTACATAGTCAGACCTGTGCTTTAAAAAAAGCACTAGTGGTTGAATGGAAGATGGATTAGAGGGAGGAAGGCCTTGAGACAGACCTAGCACCAGGCTATTGCAGTATTCAAGGTGTGAGGTGATGAGGGCCTGCGCTAGAGTGGTGGCAATGTCAGGAGAGAAGGGGGCATATTTGAGAGATGTTGTAAAGGTGAAATTGACAGACCTTGGCAGCCGATTAGAAATGGGGATGAGATAGTGAGGAATCAAGGACACCTGGGTTTCAGGCCTGGGGGACTGGGAGATTAGTAGTTCCCTTGACAGTTACAGGGAAGTTAGAAAGAGGAAAGGGTTTGAGGGTAAAGGTCTACTTCTTGAGGCAGGGTTGACTAAAAAACAGGAATCAAGAAACCAGAACCCAACCCAGAGGTATCCTTTCTTCAACATTCCCAATGAGTGGTCATCCAGCTTCTGTTTGAAGATCTTCATTCTACAGGAAATTCACTGACTCTTTCCACAGTAATTCACTTTTTAAAAAGTTTTATTGATGTTTTTTATTTTTACATTGCAGTCCGTTTCACATGTGTCCCCAGTGAAGTTTCCCTTGTAACAAAGAAAAATCTTATCAGCAAATATTTAAGCAGGCACTGTGTTAAGTACTGGAGATACAAAGGAAGCAGTATTTGCCTATATTTTTATAAGGAGGGAGAACATGTACATAAGTAAGGCTGTAAAGATGATATATACATGGTGATTTTGGGAGGGATGACACTGGGAGCTGGGGGGGGCAGCAGGAAAAGTTTCATGAAAATGGTGGCACTTGAGCTGAGTCTCATAGAGGTGAGAGGAATATATTTCACACATGGAAGATAATCTGAAAAGGGCATGAAAATGGGAAATGGAATGTTCTATCTGAGAAATAGAAAGAAAGCTCACTTGTCAGGATTGTACGTAAAGTTCATAAAGAAGAGTAATATATAGTAAGGCCAGAAAAGTGATTGGGGCCAAGGCTGTGAAGGACTTCATATGCCTAACAGGGTTTAAATTTGATCTAGCAGCAATAGGAAGCCACTGAAGTTTTTGATTATGGAAATGACATGGTTAGACCTGGGCTTTAAGAAAATAAAATTTGCCAGCTGATGGAGGATAAATTAAAAGCGAGATTTGAGGCAAGGAGACTAATTAGGAGGCTTTTACAATAGTACAAGTGAGAGGTGATGAGGTCCTGAGCTAGTGTAATGGCAGTATTTGGAGGGAAATAAAGTAAGGGAAGAGAAGGGAATAAGCATTTATATACCACTCTGCTAAGGCTTTAAAATTATCTCATTTGATCTTCACAACAACCCTTCAAGGTAGGTGCTGTTATAATCCCATTTTACAGGTGAAGAAACTGAGGAAAATGTTTTAAGTGACTTGTCTAGGGTTGCACAGCTAGTAAAAGTCTGGGGTCAAATTTGAACTTGAACTCGGGCCTTCCTAACTCCAGCGCCATCTTTCTATCCACTTTGACACCTAGCTACTTTGTATGAGTTAGAAAGAATGGTTTGGAATTTGAGATGTCTTGGAGATAGAAATGAGATTTGTTAGCTGAATGGATATATGGAGTGAGAGAAAAGTAAGGTGTCAAAAATAATACAGGTTTCAAACTTGGGTGATTGGGAAAATGGGTGGTTCCCTCAACAGTAATAAGAAAACTTGGAAGAGAGGTAGATTTGGAGACAAAGGGGGTGCAGGAATAATGATTTCTGTTTTGTTCCTGTTGGATTTGAGCTGTCTATGGGACATCCAATTTGAAATGTTTAGTAGGCAGTTTGTAGAGAATAACTAAAAGTTCAAATAACTCTAAGCAGAGAAAAAATGACATGATTGTAGGGGGGCTTAAGAGATTGCAAAAACATCCAATTAATCATATCTGAGCATGATAGCTGCATATTGTACCCATAGTCCCCTATGTCTCCTGGGAAAATTGAGAGTTTATTTATCATCATTTGCATTTCTCTTATTAAGAAATTAGAAATAATATTTGATATGGTTGTTAAAAGTTTGCAGTACTTCTTTTGAAAAAAAATTTGTTTATATTCTTTGACCTGTTAATTCCCTATAATATCTTTGATGTAAAATGATATCTTTTATCTTATGTGCTGTACATATAGATATTATATCTATATACCTATCAGATATTTGATGGGGAAAAAAAACTTATTTCCTCTTAGCAGAATTAATTTTGCTTGTCTAAAAACGTCGGTGCCACCATTTCACTTTCGGATGTTGAGAAATTGTTAGGAAATTTTTTCTTATGCCAGACCTAAATATGCTTCTGAAGCTTCTGGGAGCTGGGGGGGCAGCAGGAAAAGTTTCATGAAAATGGTGGCTCCCATCTTCATGAAGATGGCTATCATGTCTCCCACCACATCTTCCTTCTCCAGGTAAACCACTCCAGCTCCTTCAAGCTGTCATTGTTATTAACTTACCACCCTGTTTCTAGAGATGGAGGAGAAAAACATGGCAGTTTTGTAAATGGGAAAAAATGGGAGCCAAAGAAATTCTCCACGTGATCCCTTGAAGCCCTTGAAACAATAATATTATTTTTCTTCATTTTTATAGTTATTTGCATTTGTAGTTATTCTCCAGAACATACCAAAAAGATGGGGCTGAGAGATCTTCCCCAGTTTCTAGGTGGGAGAATGTAGGAGCTCTGAATTCAAAGCAGAGTCAAGATTTCTCATTCCTACTGGCCTATTTTAGACCATGTGGAATTTCTGTCTCCAAAAAAGGCCAAGTTTATAATGGGAACTGGGCTCTCAAGTAGTCTCAATTTAAAAGGGTATGCATGCTTTGCACATAGTAGACACTGAATAAAAGTTTGAATTAAAGAAAAAGGAATAAAATAATTGAATTTAATATAGTCAGTAAATTATAACTTTAGATGACGAACTTGCTTCTTGTGACCTAAATAAATTTTTTTTCTAATGGCAGGTAAAGTCCCTGGGGATGACTGCCCCCTTGTGTGGGGACAGTGCTCACACTGTTTCCACATGCACTGTATTCTCAAATGGCTTAATTCTCAGCAAGTACAGCAGCATTGTCCCATGTGTCGACAGGAATGGAAGTTCAAGGAGTGACTGATACCTTCTGTGACGTCTGCCTTCTACCTGTTGTGTGGTGAAGAACTCTGTAACCTTGGGCTTATTGATCCCAAGCTACAAAAAGGGGTCATTTTTACACTCCTGTAGGCCTTGATCCTTTTAGCAGGAACCTGAGACCACCCACATAATGGGAAGGACATGGGGGACAAGGTGGGCACGCAGTCAGCTTTCTTCCTTTGATTGTTTTAACCTTCTATGTTAGTGGATAGAAGCTAGTGTGGTTGCAGGATTAGGCTTCTTTGATTGTAAGAGGGTTGGAAGGAGGACTGGACTTGATTTTGTTTTTTTCCATTCACGATGTTGAAACTTTTTTTATCTTGAGAGCTAAAATTCATTAAACTATCTGAGCCTTGCTGAAGGCCCCTAAGGCCCCCCAGTTCTTCACTTGATAGGTTTATAAGCCTTTGATGTGTCTTGATATGAAAATACTCATGAATAAACATTTCTGTGAAACACCAGTGAGGCCCTCCTGTAAAAAAAAGAACAAAACAAAAAAAACGAGAGGAGACTTACTGCTGCTTTAGGGCTTTCTGATATAAATTAAACAGGTAAGAAGACATAAACACTAGGAGGGGGACAAGAGAGTGACTGTTCTAGTACAGAGGATTTCTACATGCATCGAATTCTCAAATAGCTTAACTTGGAGCATGTTTAACAGTCCAAAGGAATAGTTCTTGTTGACAGAGTAGAAAAAGTATTTGGGAGAGGGTGTGGTGAATACTGTAGGATGAGAAATTTGGGGAGAGAAGTCAGACACAAATGAAACTAGACTTTCTACCCCCAAATGGCTCCATGAAAGCCCCGAAAAACAGTACAAGAAAAATTAGGAGAGGTAGTTCATTGTAGAGGACGTGCTTTTTATGCGTGAAGCTTCAGGTTTGATCCTCAACATCTCTAAGTTGGGGCTTTTTTGAAAGGCAGTGTGGTATAAGTGGCGAGAACACTAGACTTAGGAATCAGGAAGACCTGGGCTCAACTTCTGTCTCAAATACTTCCTGTGGTGGCCTTGACACAAGTCACTTAATGTCTCTGTACCTCTGTTTTCTCATCTGTAAAATGTGGAAATTGGACTAGATAGCCTCTAAGAGTCTCTTGCATTTCTAAATATGTGATCCTCTGAAACCATGTTGGCCATTGAGGCTGGTCATTCGTTTTCTTCCTCCTCCCTCCTTTTCATTTATTTTATTGGTGCTCTTGTTCATATCATTGTAACTCTTTAATGGTACCTGATCCATTAAAGCCTTCCCTTGTAAAAAATATTACAGCTAAGTAAAATCAACACATTGCCCATGTCTGATAATGATTAATCACTACATTTTGACACTGTTACAATCAATGATGTTAAGTTTTCTCTTTTTTTTAAAGACTGAGTTTCCCTGTCCTGTTCAGACTATAAGTTCGTTGGCCCAGTCCTATTCTGGTCAGCATAGGAGCTTGGACCTCCTCCATTTCTAGTCTAGGCCAGTTTGAACCTTCTTAGGCAACCTTAGACCATCTTCCAACCTCACACTCCCCCACCCCACTCCCACTTTCAGGGGCTCACCATGTTAAGGCAGTGCTTGGTGTAGACAAACTTCAGCTCAGAACTGCCAGGTTCAAGAGATCTGCCAGCTTCAGCATCCCTAATACCAGGGAGTACAGATATGCACCAGCACACCCAATTTGTCAAAGTGTTTCATTGTCCTTTTCCTGTATGTTATTTATTATCATTTTTGACCCTGTGATATAGAATCATAGAATGTTAGAGACGGGAAAAAAGCACCTTTTGTCTGAATACAGATTGAAGCATACTTTTTTTTACTTTATTTTTCTAGAGGTTTTTTTGTTTTCTTTCACAGCATGACTATTAGGGATATCTTTTGCATGACTTCACATGTATAACCTATATCAAATTGCTTGCCTTCTCAATGAGGGAGGGGAGGAAGGGAGAGAATTTGGAACCCAGAGTTTTAAAAATGAATGTTAAAAATTGTTTTTGCATGTAACTGGGGAAAAATAAAATACTAAAAAAAAAAAGAAAAAAGACACTTTAGAGATAATCTAGTTCAACTTCAATATACAGAGAGCTTGTTTTCTACTCCCACTGTGTCTCTTCAGCTTTCAGGTAACCTTTACTAAGCAGGCTAGGCAGGTGCCAGTGATGCCAGAGGATGTTTCCAGAGTCATGATGTGACATAGCCGGATGTTGTTCTTTCCCCAAGGAAGTTGCGAGAAGTATAGGTTGTCTGATGGAAACAGTAAACACCTCGAGGGCAGATCCTTTCAAACATATTTTGCATTTTCCCTGGGCACTTAAAAGTAATGCTATTTGCACAGTGTGCATTTAATAAAAACTCTTCAGATGGTTTTGAATGCTTCTTAAAGATGGATAGCTCTACTTTTATTATTCTTATGACCCTGGAAGGGGCATACATTTTGGGTAAGGATAGTTGAGGAAGTTCATCTCACCTCATCTCCCCTCTAGTCCTTCACATATTTCCTTCATCTCTGTAGTGTGAGCTTCCTGGCTATCATATTTTCAGCCCCTATCCTGTTATGGGAATCCACTGGTTTAAAACTGCACCATCACCACCCCAGATGTCACTGACCCAAACAGATCCCCCCTCCCATGATGAAACAACCTGCTAAGCTCTCGGAATCTCTATGGAATCTTTTGTGGTGCTCTTTGTTTAGGAATCTATTTTAAATGCTGATATGAAAGAATTGCTTTTCTATTCACTTCAAATAATGAGTTAATAATATTGTCACTTTCCACCTTTAGCCCAGGAAGGACTTCTTTGCTGGCCAGCTCCTATCCTTCCATGCTGTGTATCTGCTGTAATGTTCCAGTCAGGAACAGATTGGCCACAGAATTTGTTACCATTGTCCCTGACCCCTAAGAAACCATACTTAATGCCATTTACCTTTCCCCTACTCTGAACCTGGGGTTCTTAGGGCTAGCTAAGTTAGGACAAACTCCAAATACTTGAGGTCCTTTAGGATTCAACCCACATTTTCCACTTTAAATGGTGTGTGCACCTTCTAAAACAAATTGGTCTTCAGTCCCATGGGTTGTGTTAAAAGGGGTCCCTGAGAAAGGGCTGGATATCAAACTATATTTGGAAAGATTGGGATGGCACCAAGTTCTAAGGTCATCCAGCCTAGCTCATGACTGGGCTCCAAAGTGTGGGTTCTCACCTGGCCTAGAAAACTTTATCTAATAGTCTGCCTGATATCCTTAAGTCCACTGAAAGCTTAATGCTGTAGATTCTGAACCAGAAGGAGGGAAAGTATTGCTGAGCCAGCTCCAGGAAGTAGCTGGACTTGGAGATGTGCAGGACTTCCAGGTTCCAAGACCAAAGATTGCTTTTTTTCCCCCATGGATTGAAGGAGAGCAAAGAATTTCACACAGCTCCTGCTTGATACCCCCCTTCTCTCCCCAAGTGGAGGTGGTGCTGCCCGGGCTTTAGAGCAGCTTAAGCTCTGGCTCCGCCCCCGCAGGTGCCCCCCTCCTTCCTTTGCTCTGCTTGTCTCCTGCCTTTCCTGTGTTTGGGGTGCTGCAACTGGGAGGGAGGGCGCAGAGACCCCCAGGCCCGCCTCCACCCAGCTCGCCACGCAATGTGCCCTTCAGCACCGCGGATATAAGGAGCAGTCGAGCTCAAAGGCTCAGAGCTTCTGGTCGCTGGAAGAAAGGGTACTTACTACAGCTTGTCCGTCGTGAGTCGGTCTGATTTGCGCTCCCCAATGCCTTCCCGCGGGAAGCTGGTGGCGGCTGTCCTGGCGCTTGGCCTCTTGCTGGTGCCACCCGGTCACGCCTGGTACAAGCAGTCAGCCGGACCCAGCTACTATTCCGTGGGCCGGGCGTCGGGGCTGCTGTCTGGCATCCGCCGCTCTCCATATGCCAGGCGCTCCGACCCGGTGCAGGACGGCGGAGACACTGGGAGCAGCGCCTTTCCTGAGCCTCGAACCAGCCTTCGGAGCCTCGTGAGTGTGGGGTGACTGGGGCGACCCGCGACGGGACAAGGCAGGGTGACCCGAGAGAATCCAGAGGGCTGGGGTGGGTGGCAGGTGATGAGGGAGGGATGAGTCTGGAAAAGGTGCGGGGCGCTGGACGGCTAGGGGAGCCCATGCGGGAGGCTGGGGCTGCCATGCAGAATGCGTCTCGCCTTCTTTATCTGTCCGGTGCCCTCCCTGCCTAGGCGGTATGTGTGAAGGACATCACCCCGAATCTGCAGAGCTGCGAGCTGCTTCCAGATGGGCTCGGGACTTTCCGGTGCAAGGCAGATGTTTTCCTGTCTCTGGACTCGGCGGACTGTCTCAGTACCTGACGTTTCCTGTCCCCGGCAGACCCTGGGATGGAAATGGAGAGCTGAAGCCTCGACGTCCCAGCCCACCTCCTATCCCTTCTCACCGAAAAATGAATAAAGTGAACAAATGAGACCACTTTAGAGTCTGTGTGCTAGCTCCTGGGGACGAGTATGGGGGCGGGGGTGGGGAGGGGTGGGGTTGGGGGGGTAGGAAAGAGGGTCGAAGGGCAGGGTCCCTCCGGAGTTCCCAAATTGGAAGCCTTAAAGTTTCTGAGATGTGCCAATTGCAAAATAGCGCTGGAGGTCCCCCTCCTGTTCCAGTCCTGCCCTCTTTGTTTCCATCATCAAGTGGGGAACACACGGCACATGCAGGCACAGACTCCATTACTGGTAGACTTGGGCCTGATTCCCATGGGGGATTTTGTGTTGTGTTTGAAGCCTGGGTTGTGGTTGGGGAAGGAATCTCGCTTGCTCCCTCCCTGTCCTTTTCCGGTAATCCTTTTAATGTGCAAATATTGCTAGGAAAGATAAAATATTGACCCTAGTGGTTTATTTTTAATTGGATCAGCAGGTTTGGGGAAAACTAAACTGAAAGGGGAAGTAGAGACCTTCACAATTCAATTTTAGGATAACAAGGAACCAAAGATGAAAGGAAGGAATTTACAGAAAGGGCCTGAAAATAAAATAAAATTGAATTTAAAAAAAAAAAGGATGGTAGTGATTCAGTGGGAAAATGGTTATTTACTTGACTGATTTCAAGTCCCAGCTCTGCTTGGGACCTTGACCTTGAGCAAATCACTTTAATGTCTCTGGGCCTCAGTTTTCCCATCTATAAAATTAAGGGATTTGAGTAGATGGTCGCTGAGGTCTCTTCCAGGTTTGAATCTATGATCCTAATGCAGGAAGGCTGACCTCTACATGTAGCATGGGGCTATCGCTGTGTGGCTGGAAGGGAACAAGAACAGACATCTTGAGCCTCTTCTCCCCCCAACCTTCTCCAAGGGAGACCTTATTTCCTGCCAGGAGGGGAAGCAGAAAGCTGGGACCAGAAGCTTGGGAGAGAGTACTAGGCTAGAATTATATCTATCTGCTCCCTAAATATTGTTAGTCTGGAGGATGTAGTTTTCAGGTCCAATCCAGCCTCTGATTGTTGTTTTATTAATGGAAGAAGTAGGAACCCACACTTTATATCTAAGGCTTGACCCCTTCCACCAAATACCAGCTCCATAATGAACACCCATGACACTGAGAGGAAAACAAATAAAACCCCTCATTTATCCAAATCCCATAGCCAAACAGAAATCAGAGAAAGTATTCATAGGAGAATATATATCAGACAAAACAGGGAAAGAGCAAGGCAATTCAGCTTAACCAAAGAAGAGAGTCCTAGATCTCACCCATGGGGAAATTCCTCAAAGTGTAGCAAGCTGGGGACAGGGTCATGATGGACTGCCAGCTCCATTCGTGTTGGTTTCTTCCCTGATTCTTTTCCCTCAGGAACCTGAAACAGGGCTGGCATCTTTCATCTTCTCTTTGAAGCTGGAAGCCAGAAGCACCTGAAGCCTGAAGAGACTCAGGGTCTTGAAGCTTAAAAGAGATTCAAGAGCTCTTCTCTCTCCTCTCACTAACTTCACCCTGCCCCTCATGCACGCTTAAGATATTGGTTTCCTCCAATAAAGAGAGAGTCCCATACCAATGGGCTTTGGGACTAGGGTTACAATGTAACTGGGGAAATTGGCTTAACAAAATGGTTTTTTTTTTACTCTTAAAAATTTTATTTTAAAAACATCCATTTTTTAAGATCTTGAGTTCCAAATTCTCTCTCTCCCTTCTATCCCTCTCCCACCCATTGAGAAGGCAAGCAATTATGCATGTGAAGTCATACAAAACATTTCCAGATGAGATTTTTTTTAAGCTTTTTTTTATTTTTAGGCAATTGGGGTTAAGTGACTTGCCTAGAATCACACAGCTAGTAAGTGTTAAGTGTCTGGTCTGAGACCCGATTTGAACTTGGGTCCTCCTGACTCTAGGGCCAGTGGTCTATCCACTTCACCACCTTGCTGCCCCAAGGAGTTTCAGAATCTTAAGGAAGAAAATGACTCCTTGAAAATCAGAATTGGGCAAAGGGAAGACAGTGAAGTTATAAGAGACTAAGAAATAATTAAACAAAATCTAAAGAATGAAAAAATAGAAGAGAATATGAAACATAAGAAAAACAACTGATTTGGAGAACAGATCAAGAAGAGAAAACATAAGAATAATTGGACTACTTAAAAGGTACAGCCAAAAAAGGAATCTTGATACAATAGTAAAAGAAATAATTAAAGAAAATTGTCCTGAAGTGTTAGAACAAGAGAGGAAAGTAGAAATAGAAAAAAGTCCACCGATCGCCACCTGAAAAAGATTTTACAAGGAAAACCTACAGTAACATTATAATCAAATTCCAAAACTCCCTGTTCAAGGAGAAAACAGTATCAGCAACAAGAAAAAAACAATTTTAAATATGGGAGTGCCACACAATTAGAATCACGTAAGACCTAGCAGTGGCAACACTAAAAGACCAAAGGTCTTGAAACATATTGAAAAGCCAAAGAAATGGGTTTGTGGCCAAAAATATCATACCCAGCAAAGTTAAGCATAGTCCTGAATAAAAAGAAATGGACCTTTAATGAACTGCCAGACTTTCAGGATTTTGTTTGAAAAAAAAAAAACCAAACCAAAACCCTGAACTTAACAGATTTGATATATAAGATCCAAGAGAAATATAAGGTGCATATCAAAGACTAATTACAAGGGACTCAAAAAGGACCGACTGTTTACTTTTTATACGAGGAAATATAAAACGTATATCTAAGATTGTTATTAGTAATTGAGTTCAAGAATACTGTATTTCACCACGTAATCGTCGCCATCACATAAGTGTTGCACTCTGTTTTTTTTTTGTTTTGTTTTCAGTCCAAAAATTGTTTTATAACCTTTCATCATGTAATCTTCTCATGGTTTCATTCTGCTTGTCATGCTACTTACTCTGTAAGTCATGCTACATACTCTGTAAACAGAGCAGCAATGTATTCACCTGTGGCATATGGATATGCATTTATCTGTAGCACATTACAAGCTATGAGCCTAGAATTCTCAGCACATATGAATTGTCAGTATTCAATTTTAATGTATATTCACGAGTATTTTGTGCATCCTAATATTGCACCAAAGACAGTTTAGTAATAAATTATTTTTAAGTAACACTGACACATTTTTAAAAGCTTCATGGCATGGTCGCACCCCACTTTTTTTGCAAAATTTTTTGGCTTAAATCTGGATGATTATGTGGTGAAATACAGTAAGATTGGGGTAGACCTGAATATGACCTGATTCTAAAAAGTAAAAACCATTTAGAAGGTAAAGAGAGTAATTATCTTATACAGATGAAGTGCTAGAGGAAGAATTGATATAAGAGAATTAGATGGGGGATGAAGGCTGGTAGTTCTGGAACCCTACTTTAATTGAGAATGGGTTTAAGAGGGAACAATACATATATATATATATTATATATATATATATATATATATATATATATATATATATATAAGAGTATAACAGTCTTCTAAATTCAGAAAGAAAAGGCTAAGGGGATGGGGAGGGGATAAGGGAGGGATTTTTAGAGAGGAAGTTGAGAGAATAGGATAAAGTGGGGTATAGAAGGGAGTTTAGATTAAGGGGAATGGTAGGATAAGGGAGGGACTGTTGGAGGGTTAGGTTAAATAATAGGGCAAGGTAGCAGATACAAGTAAAGTAGAGGAGTCAGGAGGGATAGGAAATAAGATACAATCATAAAACAAAGATCAGGAGTAGAATTTATAGGGGCAGCTAGGTGGTGCAGTGGATAGAGCACTGGCCCTGGATTTAGGAGAACCTGAGTTCAAATCCAGCCTCAGACATATAACACTTACTAGCTTGACCCTTGGGCAAGTCACTTAACCCCACTGCCTAGCCAAAAAAAAAAAAAAAAAAAAAAGGAGTAGGATTTATTAGGGGAAAAGAGCAGGGGTGGTTATCATGATCTTGGGCAAAGTTAAGGCTAAAATAAATTTCATCAAAAGGGGAAAAATAGGGAAACTATACTATATGTTAGCCATATTCATCAATATTGTTTTGGACTATTTAAAATAAATAGACAGTATAAGGTTGAATTACTGTGGTATAAAAAATGATGAGTTGGTGAACTTTGAAAAATATGAAAAGACTTGGACTTATGAAGGAAGAGGTTATCTACCCTCAGAGAAACAGAGGATAAATAAGTATAGTACAGTCTTACATAGATGCATATGAATGCGTATGTCTATGTATGGATACAATTATGGATATCTAAGTATATGTATGTGTCTGTATGTATGTGTGTATATGTATGTATATATACCTTTGTATGTATATGTGTATACATGCATGTATATTTGTACATGTATATAGGTATGGATGTGTGTATATATGTATATATATAAATATATCTGAGCTCATTTGTAGCCTTGGGTGGAGTTGGGAGTGGAGGGAGGAAGGAGAAAAAAGAACAAAGTAAAAAGAGCACAGTGAAGAAGAAAAAAAAGAAAAGAAAGAGGGTAGGGTAGGGCATTGGAAAGAATCCATCCCACTTTCTCCCATTGGCGTGTTCCTGCTGGAATCACCATTTTGAGGCAAGACCCAGAGGAGCCATCCTTTCTTCTCCTGACTTCACCATCCAGTTCCTTGTCTCCTCCTTACCCTCTCCACACTTTTCAGCCCTCTTTTATGCAATTGTCTTCCTTCACAGAATGAGGGATTCATGCCCTTCTTGAGGGCAGAGACTGTCTGTCTTTCTACTTGTATTTGTGTTCCCATTGCTTAGCACAGTGCCTGGCTGTTGTTTGTCAGTCAGTTAGCATTTATTAAGCATTGAATTTGTGCCAGGCACTGTGCTAAATGCTGGGGATACAAAGAAAGGCCAAACAAAAAAGAGTCTCTATTCTCAAATAGCTCATAGTCAAATGGAGGGGTGGGGAGAGGGACAACATGCAAACAACTATGTACAGACAAGATCTATGCAGGATACGTTGAGGGTGGTCACAGAAGAATTATAGGGGATTGGGAAATGCTTCCTGTAGA